CGATAAGATATTTTAGAAGGGTTAAAAGGCGCTCATTTGTATTGGGCTGCTTTGGTAGTGGGCTTTAATTTTCTATTTTGTAAAGCTCATTTTTATTTCTTGAAAATATTTACAAGGAATGGCCCAGTTTAATAGAAAGTCCAATTGGTAAAATGACTAAATTGCCCTTGTAGATTATGTTTTTTTTTTCTTTAAATTGAGAAAAAATAATAATATCAATAAAATTAAAACCCTAAAATTAAAATGATTAAATTATCTTTGTAGATTTAAAATTGCATTTTAGATTTTATTTAAATATCAGATATCGATTTTATTATTTTAACTATTTATTTGTTATTTACAAAATCGTCATAAATTTTGCCTCTACCTATATCGAGACTGATATGAGCTAGATTTTTTTATTGCATTTAATTATTACTTGTCTCTTTGAATTATTTACACTATCTGTATTTAGAACAACACAACAATCATCATTACAAACAAACATATTCTTTTTGACAAAATTAAGACAGTCAAAATTAACTATTGACACGTTTTTAATATGAGTTGAGAAATGATTGAAAAAACTCGACTGAGACTAAGTCAGATTTAAATTAATATACATAGGACTAAGTCAGATTTAAATTAATATACATAGGACGGTCGAGTATACTTTACCCTTATTATGACCAACATGTAGGGTTATTGGTTGTAACGATTTTGGTAGACACATTCAATGTGTGTTCTTACAATGTCTGTATTTATGTTTTGTTGGTTTGTGAATTTGGTTTGACTTAAGAGGACAGGTTTGAAAATCATTGTCCAAATATGAAAAATAAAACAAATATACGACTATTGAAAATTCTTAGGTTCAAAAATTAAATGTAATTTCAAATGAGTAGGAGCGTCTGTAAGTTGAATGAGGTCGAGCTGAGACATTTTTAGACCAACTAAATTGTTCGGATTGTAAATTTTTTTAAATCCAAATATTTTTTTTTGTTAAATAATGAACTTAATACCGCTGTAATGAATTTAACTAAGTTATTTTTTTTTTTTTATAATAAAAGTAAAAGGTTGGTTCGTGAGTAATTTATTTATTTTTAAATATTTAATTAAATTTTATAACTATTATTACAAAAAATAATGGTGGGAGAATGAATGAATAAAAAAAAATTAAAAATGAAATAAAAATAAAATAAATATAAAGCTTTCATCCTAGATAGGTCTTTACCATTCTATATTAGGTCAGTATGAGGGTGTATGACTGTTCACCAAAATCGTGTCTACACCTGTTAGGGCTAAAATGCCCCAAAATGTACTATAGGGAGATATGACTAGTTGTCAATTTCTTCCTACCTGATAGCTATATGCAATAAGCCGTTGTTGTTGTCTTTTTGCTTACACCATTTCCAATTTCTCAAATCTTGCTTTCAAAACTCTTTTTCGAAATCTTTCTGCTTCGTTTTCTAAAACTTTCTTCTTGAACCGGGGTCAGAGGCTCGAGTATACGTCGCTTGGCTATAAGCGACGCAAGAACGAATAGACTTAACTCACTTATGGCTGGAAAGTGAGTGCCGCACAATCGCAAGTCCACTGCTATCAAAGTGTGATTGTGATACCCTGCACCCACCCGACACCACTGATCATAAATGACATATTTGAAAGTAATTTCAAAATGGTTAAAATCATTTCTATCGTATTCAAGAATACTCTAAAGCATGCTTTGAATCATTAGAATCAATTTTACTAGTATCAAAATCACGTGAAAGAGAGTGATACCAAATATTAAACGGATTTGAAACGATTAAGCATGTTTTTAGAGTGAATTTAAAAGCATTCGATAGAAGCATACATACATACAGAGTTTCTCATTACCTTCAAAGTGTGGTAGCAGAGCCAAGGGAATTAAAAAATAATAGATCACTACAGAAAATGGGACATTCATCGATAGTTGATGACGGTGGACCTGAACAGGCCGCATTCAAACTTATCTCTACCTGTTGAGGATTCTACCATTACTATAGCAAGGAAGCTGCTAGCCTATGATTCAAAGTACAAGAGGGAGGATGGATAAACTAATATCCAGCGTTTCAAGGGATCTACCTCTAATCGTTATGATCCAAGTTTTCCAAGTCTTCCAACTCTTTGCAAAACATACACTAACAGAGACCCAAAGGCTTGCTGCTAAAGGCACCAATTCAGAGTTGCTCTCTTGGGGACTTAACCTTCCAAATGGACAAATGCAAAGATATACCGTCAAAAAGAGGTTGGAAGTCGGGAAATACAGTTAGGAAATCCATACAAATTCAGTGGTCTTACTCAAATCAAACGCTCCTTCCTAACTAATTAGAACTTGATTGAGTCATTGAGCACACAAGACAGAGGGAGAGATTATAATTTAAGTGTGCCAAAAGTATGGAGAATGTGGGTTATGTCTACGACCTCGAGTGAGGATACTAGCTAGTGATATCAAATAAGTTATGAATTACCTAGATAGTAGAAGTGCACATGAACGGGATCAAATATTCAAGTGAGAAAAATAGCTCAAATATGCCAGACAAGTTATACATAGTTTTGTGCAACATCTGAGATGTTTAACATGATGATCTATATGGAAGGGCAATTTTTGTTGATGCACTCTTACTGAAGTTAGTTTTATAAGAGTATCACTCTGACTAATGCCATCAGTAAATTTATCAAAGGCAAAAATGATTTATTTGATATCATGGATCACTCGTTATAGAGTGTCCATTTCATTTTTGTACCTACTTTGTCTGGTTATGAGTTACTAGTTTGGTCCGGTCTATTACTTGTTCCTCGTGTCTATTTTACCGAGAGTTTGCTCTTAGAAATATAATCTATCTTCACCCTCACATCAATCCCACAAACCTGGTGAGGTTCATTTTTGTGGCCAGTCATGGGAAGACCCACAAATCATGGGTATTGTTACAAGATGTTTTTTTTAGCTATCATCAAGAGTAAGTAGGCGAAAAACATAAGATAGAAAAAGGATAAACCAATACTATAAACACAAGTAGAAGCCAGTAGAGGGGTGCAGTCACATGGGAATGGATGGACAAGGCAAGAAAACTTTAAGCACGAGCATTTCCTTTAAAAACAGAATCCCCATATTAAGAAGTAGGAGCAGATGGAATATTTAATTATTAATACTCCTAGAAGCATTCATAAAGAAAAATAAACCAGCAAGAGACCACACTTGGGGGCCAGTGCCCCCCATAGACGCCATTTATTGAGTTTTGTGCAGGGGTGTTAAAGAAAAAGAGGGATGATCCAAAAGATCCATAAACGATTCAAATAGCTGGAATGAATTAAAAAAGAAAAAAAAAATTATTAGGATTGAATTACATTGAGTTCATTATTTAAATCGAAAGATTTTAGGATCCAACAATTAGATTGAGTCTAAAAAATGTCCAAACTCAATAGATCAACTTAATTAAATCCTACCATACAATGATTGGTATTTTGTATCTTAATTTTGATATTTTTATATAAAAAAGGGCACAGCGGGGTAAGGCTGGGATTGGGGCGCAAACGAAAACAGGAACGAAAATAGGGAATATAATACCTACTACTGCTATGGAGAAATTTCTCTTCTGTCATTCCTTATTTACCTTTAAACAGAGATTCCAAGGTCATCTCTGCTAAGGTTGTATTAGAGTAAAGAGTTCAAGAACTCAATTTCCTGGTTCAAACATTTTGGATTTAATTTATGCAACCGATTCAAACATTTTGGACTATCCACCTAAAGATCAGAATTAGAATTTGAATCTAAAATGTATAGCAAAACAAGAACGAACAACAAAGCAATTGGGAATAAGTATGAACAATGCTTACCAGTAAGAGAAACGAGCCGACAATCACTTCAGTCCCGGAAAATGACATCACCGGCGTCAAGGATTCCAGCGAGAACTTCCTTGCAAAGAAGTACGAGTAGCTCGAATTCGATAGCCTCAATGTGTGTGTGAGCGCCGGAGAGACCTCCTCCGGCGAGTACAAATGCGGATGTCCATCCCAACATCCTGTCCGATCCTTCATGGACAACAATGTCGGCAAGTAATGCTCCTCAGGCCACGGTTCCTCGCACTTCCTCTAGAGTTTTCTCTCTTTCACCACCAGCACCGCGTGGTTGCGAGCCAGAATGAAGAACTGCGATCCGACTGAGAATCGCCCAAACGACACTTCAGAGAGCATCGCGGTGGCTCCCCTGGCCTGGCGGTGTATCGCTCGTACAGTGGGGAGCGGGAAAATGAGTGAAAATGTGAGGGAATTCATGGAAGGGTAATTTTGGAAAAGAAAATTTGAAAAATCAAATGTAGGCTTTTTTAATAGACCTCTTTTAAGTCCGAAGGCTTCCTCGAGCGTCATAGGAACATAATAAGACCCTTTGAAATATGAGACTCGTATCCATAAATCTAATATTTAAAAAAATGTGTTCATAATGACTCGAAAGGTGGACACAAGATCGGATATAATTTGATGATCAAAGATCATCAGATGTCGACTTCTGTTTTAGGTCATTCGAGAACAGATACATCTGCATCCCTAAATTATAAGTCAAATACTTCTTCCACGTGAAGTTTGTCGTACAACACATTGCTCGAAGTAATATATATATATATATAATAAAGAGTGGAAAAAAAATAAAAATTTAAATACAATATACAAAAATTATGTTTATTTGGTTAATTTTAAAAAATGGCCTAAAAAACATTTAATTTAGTCTCAAAATTAGAACTTTAAAATTTTATAAATTTAAATTTATATTTATATCCAATAAGTATGGATCTAAAGGTTAAAGTTGTAATTTAAGTACATGTATAAATTAAAATGAGAAAATTAAATATATATATATATATAGATAGATATATATATTTACTTATTTATTTATTTAGGCTGCAAAAGGAAAGGAGAACAGATAATTGGTGAGAACCAATTTTCTGCAATTATGACCGTTATTCAAACCATTCCGGCGTCCAATTATATCTCTGCAATGAGTGCATCACAACCACCCATTTTCCACGTGTCGTCTTCTACAGCAACTCGATCTTCAATTGACCAGATTTCGTCCTCAAATACACGTGGCACTTTTCCATAAGCCATTTCCATGAGCTTATCATGGAAGCGGCAACATAGGATTCCAGTTTCCCTTTCAACGTTCTTGAAATCGCTACAAAGGAACTTACTAGCCGTTTGAACTCCATCGGTAGCTAACCTTTTTCACTCTCTTTCTGTGAATCCACCGCAAACTTCTGAATAGAAATCTAACAATCTTGAGCTTTGAATATCCCCTTCCTTGGCAAGAAATGAATGGAGTCAGAGGAAAATTCATGAAGAAGCTCAAATCTATGAAGCCACCCATTGTGTATCTCAAACAAGATCGAATTCTTCAGGTCATTGCTCCAAATGGGTACTCCGATTTCTTCACCAGAAGCGAAAATCTCGAAGCCAATGTTCAGAAATCGAACCACAAAAATGATATCAATTTGTTGAAGGAAAACAGAGATTTCGCCATTGACGATGAAGAAACAGAGGAGTCTGGTTTCGCCGTTGAAGATAAAGAGAATATCGAGCCGTCCGGTAAATCGAATAGAGGGATTGGGGATTCTTTGTGTTTAAGAGCTGGGAATTGTTTGCCGGAATCGAAACGAGAAACCCCGTTGTCGGAAATTGACATCTCGTCTTTCCGGCGGCCGGATATGAACTCCGGGAGCCTGTTTGACCCAAATTTACTTGAGGTTTTTCATCAGGCAGTGATGGAGTATATGAAAATCAGGGAAGCCGAGATGAAATGTGGAATCGAAATTGAAGAACACGAGGAGGAAGAAGAAGAAGAAGAAGAAGAGGAAAAACAGATTTCATCGGAGATTCCTCTGTTTATGTTCGAAGAAAAATGCCCACCAGGGGGATCGGACTCTGTAATTCTTTACACGACGACTCTAAGAGGAATAAGGAAAACGTTTGAGGAATGCAACAGTATAAGGTTTCTTTTGGAAACGTTTAGAGTGAAATTTTTCGAGCGGGACGTTTCGATGCATACCGAGTTTAAAGAAGAGTTATGGAGAGTTTTGGGTACAAAGAGAGCTTTACCTCCAAAGCTGTTCATCAGGGGAAGGTACATTGGTGGAGCAGAGGAGGTTTTGGGGCTGCATGAGCAGGGCAAGCTCCGGCCGTTGTTCGATGGTGTTCCGATCGATTGTTTTGCTGGGATCCCGTGCGAAGGGTGTGGCGGAGTCCGATTCGTGCTCTGTTTCAACTGCAATGGGAGTAAAAGAGTTGTTGATGAGAGTGATGAACAAAGGAATTGCCCAGAATGTAATGAAAATGGACTGATTCTTTGTCCTTATTGCTGCTAAAGAAAACCAAGGATTTGTCTTTGATTATGTAAATTGGGTTTTGAATGTTACAAATTCGTTTGTGTTGAGATTCTTTTATACAGAACAAGTTCAAGTTCAACTAGATTCTTGAGGGGTTTGCTGGATTTTTCGATCCATAATTAATGTAACATTCGTTGCTTAGACTTATCCCGACCCCTTTATTATAAATAAAATATTCTATTTTTGGAACAAAAATTGCTGAAATAACCTAATGTGCGTCGAGGAGGAAACACGTAAAAGTAGTTATAACGCTTTAGTAATTTGGAAAACGACATGTTTCCTCAAGTACAACAAGTGGGAGTATAAAGTTTTGAACCTCTGACTTCAAGATTATCGTACCGATATAAAGGATATTGAGTGAAAATAGCATTGTACGTTCTATGTTTTTGAACGTGACGATCACAATATGACTAATTGGCTCTCATTAGATAAAATTTTGAGATCCGTATGCCTCCTAATACTGATTCAAGAACTACCGATCATGTTATTCCAACAGGTTCCTACAACAATTCAGAGAAATAGAGAATAGTAACACATCTGTTGTATTAGAAATTCTCGAGCTAGACATGGGGTTTCGGTAATTCTAATATGGGTCCAGAGTATATTTCTCAAATCGTTAACGAAATGAGAATTTGAACGAGGGTCGGTACTCGAGAAATGCATCCATTTGAGTGTAGATAACAAAATTTAACTACAACTTTCTAAGGTATAAGAAGAAAATCCATAAGAATAAAGCTGCAATATATAGCACCGTTAATCAACTTTGGAAAACAAAAACCATGGCTAACAAGGAGAGACGAATCACCACATAGGGGCTTGCAAAATTGTATCTTAAAATGAAATAAGACCATTTACCTTATAAAACTAACCAATTATGAAGATGGAACCTTGAATTCCACATATTTTCCTATCCAATACATGAACTATCAATCCTCTTTAGCGTTCTTGCGCTCGTTGATGAACGAGCCAACGGATCTGAACCACCGCATAAGATTTCGATGCTCTTTCACATAAAGCCATGCCTGAAGAAATGGAAAGAGAGACTCGTTTATACCTCGCTCCTCTATGTAATTGTGAAATACATCTCGCATTTTCTCATCCAGATCTCTGTTATACAAAGAAACATAAGTGTGAGTTTTCTTATGATTTCCCATCGAACAGTAATTTGGTCGAGATTATAAGCATATGAAAATCATAAGGCTCAACATCACAATCCCACTTGGTTCAATAAAAAACTGACATATATGCTATGAAAAGAAGAACTACCATCATGACCCTTCGACACCATATCTAGGCCAACTATGATGAAAAAGAAACTATTTAGTAAGAGATAGCTTTCATAAAAATAAATACAAAGGATTATAGAACTAGGCCATACAAGAACACAAGCCAAATCAGAGCAAAGAGAGCTACTCAACCAAACCAAAGGGTACTAACTTACTAAGTGTTTTAACACAAGAAAGGCGAAGTATATATATATTGGATTCGATACATATTCTCTTACACGTTGCTATCCAGGTTGGCTTACTTAGGGGATGCCCTAACCCATTGGGAAATTTCGCTTTAGCCAATGATCCAAGCAGAGTAACAATATGAACTACAGTATCACTTCAAATTTGCACTATTCTATGATGCTGGGTGCTAATTGCAAGCATCCCAAGTGAGTGACATGATATAAGGGATTCAATCAACTGCAAGTGAAAACATTAAATATCGAAGTCTAAGTTCGTAACCAAAGAAAAGAAATCAGAGGCTGCAGCCTGCAAGTTAAGGAACAAAATAGGTAGCTGCAATGAAGAATTCAAACAGTGGAGACTAGAATGATAAGCTCCTTAGGCAATAAACAATATATACTAAAGAAAGTTAACTGATATCTTTAACCTGCGAACCAAAACTAGCAACCCAGAATAGTTCATTACCGAAAGGGTCGTGTTGTTTAAATTACAGATTCTTGGCAGCAAATTGTATGCAGCAACAAATCCTGAACTCATGACCTTTACTTAGATCTAACTCCTTCGATTACTTTACTAGGAGAAAATGATTCAGTTTTTGTTAGTTTAGATGATAACACTAAAAATTGAGACATGGGATCCAAATTATAAGCATTTCTCTAATTGGTGCCATGAACAACATTGCTTGAACTACTTGACTAAATGTTAACTACCACTAAACATGAGGCAACAGACTACATAGTAATTGAGGCTAACTTACTTTAAAATGGTACCATGTCCTGCAGAGATATGGAAGCCATGCCGATTAAATAAAATTGTTCCAACACTCTCTGGATTAAAGACATAAAACTTACTCGAACACGGGACCATTATAGCCAGACGGGACGACGAGAAACCCCGAGGATTCAGCTTTTGGTCTCATCGAAACGGAATGAATACCTAATGCATCGGGATACAATCCACAAAGAAAATGTAAACTTTCCCTCTGCTCCGGCTTTGATACAGTCAGATGAAGAAACAACTGGTTAATTTCGTCGTCTCCATCGTCTCCACCGCCTCCCGGAACAATATTAGCCAATCGCATAACCGAAACGTTAATCTCTTCATTGCCGTAGCTCCTAGTAAGCACCGGACCATTGCCGTCTAGTGCGCCTTTAATGATAGAAAAGGAAGACGGAGGGCTCACTTTCTGCGATAAAAAGGAGAAAACCGAGTAAGATGAACAAACGATCTTCGTATAGCTTAAAACCCTAATTCTAGGGTTTAGCAATTGAAAACAGAGGACAAAGCAATGGAAACCTTACAGGAGGAGGCGTCATTCTGGAGATCTCGAGATAGTGTTCTTTGAGGGAGCGGAGGAGCAATGAATTGACGGCAGTAGACACGGAGGTCGAATGGCGGCAAGTGGCCATGAGAGACGGCCGGTGGCTACCCCGTAAAGCCACCGCAGCGACGGCCGTCACTTTCTTCAACATTTTCCTTCGATTTTGCTGTAGAGGTTGTGTGTTGTTGAACTTGAGACTTTGCCGCGGTTTTAAAGCATAATTTACCGGTCCGACCGAAGCGGTTCGAGACGGTCTGCAGATGCAAACTTGGTCAATGAGTTAGACCGGCCACATGAAAAATTTAAAATATAATTTCGGTATTTTGGATTTATTTTTAGTACATAAAAGCTCCGTTTATTTATTTAAAAAAAAAAAGATTTGTGCGGTAATTTCTAGTTTGAAATACCAATAAAAATGTACCTTGAAGCAAAGTCAAATTTTCTATAAATACTACAGAATAATAATAATAATAATAATTTAAAGAGTACTTGTAATAAGCTTTAAATTTTTTGTACGATAAAATGTATTTCTTAAAAAAAAATCAATAAATGTGACAGCAAGAATGTTGGCCCCCAAGATGAATTGTAGGGTGGGAGAACGAATACCTATTTCTAATAGATGTGTTGGCTGATCAAACACTGGACGATGTGACAGCAAGAATGTTGGCCCAGGAGTGGATTGTAGGGTGGGGGAATGAATTATGAGATCACATTGGTTGGAAAGAAGAATCTTTATAAGGGAATCTCTTCCTAAGAGATGCATTTTAAAATTTGAGCCTAACGGTGATAGGATCAAAACTGACAATATCTGCTAACGGTGGCCTTGGACTTTAGAACTTGAAAAGGACAGTACAAGAACCTCCGACACTCCCTAAATATATACATTCAACTACATATACAATATAAAAATGGGTTATTACAAACTATCGAACGATCTTTCGCAACCTGCCTTTTATCGAAGTGTTGATAAATATCATTCTCTCGAGAACATTTTTAAGCAGTTAAAAGGTCGATCCAAATATGTGCCAACTTTAAGCTTGAAGAAAGGAACATTTACAAAAATACTAACAAAAAGAAGAATGATGAGGAGGGCAAGAAATGATGCTTCCATGGACAACAGCACATACTTCCTTTTTCTTATGTTACAAATAAAAGATTACAGAAAAACTGAGTCCATGGCACAGAGGAGATGATGATGATGAAGAAGATGATGTTGTTACCTCAAACATGGACACACTATTACTACGGAGTACACAGAATGTTCTTCCACTTTCCTAATGAAGCTAATACAAAATTTCTGAACTTAGGACCCCATCGATACCACGAAAAAATTTGCCAACCGAACCATTCGCTAAACGAGAACATAGAACCAACAATTCTTGGCTTATCACGTCGAAATCAAACAACTCAGGTGACAAATGACCCCTCCCCACCCCTCTCCTCTTTCCAGTCATCGACATGACAGAGATGGTAATATAAATTTTTCCTAGACGAAAAATAACTGGGATATAGAAACACGAAAAAAAAAAAACCGAATACCTTTACTCTCGATTCCTCCTACTTCTTTCTTGATTTGCTTTTAACTTTCACGAATTTTCGATTCGATTTGTCGCCGCCACCAGCGCCTAGTGAGAAGCTTCCTCCAGCACTGGCATTGAAGTCTAAGCTACCCGAAGCCTGAAATGGATTGGGATTTTGTGGGGTAGGTACATTTTGTTGGCTACCACCAAACTGGAAAGGATTTGCTCCTAGCGGAGAAGGAGCAGTTGAACCAAACACAAACCCTGATGATGGAGGTGGCGTAAGGGGTTGTTGCCCAAAACTCGGCATAGGCGTTGGCGATGCGACTGTCTGGACGGTATCCTCAGCCATGCTGTCCTCCATATTTGCATGATCATTATTTGCAGGAGGTGTTGAACCAAAGGTGAAGCCATGATTAGAAGTACCAAAAGCAGGCTGTGACGGCGCAGCAGTTGCAGCTGAAGTAAATGAGAACATCGAGGTTGTTGATGCTGCACCGGTTGTCGATGATCCAAAGAGCATAGGGGAACTACTAGAAGCAGCGGAAGAAGATGCAAGGCCAAAGGAAAATCCCCCCGTTGGAGTTGAGCCGAATCCAGAAGAAAACGATGGCGCGGAGGATGCCTGCCAGTTAAAGAAGCTAGAACTAGTACCAGCACCGGAGCTGACTGAATTATTAGCAGAACTGGAGGAACCAAACCCAAAAGTGGCGCCTGAAGTGAACAAATTAGACGCGGGAGCTGAAGAACCAACCAAAGAGTTACCGGAGGCCAAACCCGTATTC